TCTTGGTCAGGCAACTCTTGAAAATGTAGCATGTATATCACCTATTATCTCTATATGTTATGTAAATATATGGAGGTGTCTACATATCTGAGCATGTGCATAATTGTACATATATGTATTTCATTTAAAGACATCTGCTATCTGAATGTATCAGAAATGTAAACTGAAAAACAAATGGCTCTGATGTTTATAGTCTATGTCTTGCTGCATAACAACAGTATTGTCTTTCAATATTTTTAAGAGCCCAATGTCTACTTGTTTCTTCACCATTTCAGTTCTTATGGTTAAGAGTATTGCCACAGACCTGTAAACTTGTGGGGGTACATCAGGTAAGGAGGGAAAAAAGCACAAATATTTTACAAACTTGACCATCTTCTTTTTTTTTTCTTTTTTTGTTAAATAAAACCTGCACAGACTAGAATGTTGTCTGGAGGGGAAAGAGGAAGGAAAGGCAGGGGGGCAAGGAAGGAGCAGGATTTTATATATACACTTGTGGTTCATTAAACTTCACAGGAAATAAATGTTGGTTTGGGGTTGGTTGTCTTTGTAATAATACACAACGAGTTTTGAATACAATAATAAAGTAACAGTCCTTTGCACTGAGGGAAAGATTGTGCACGAAAAACAAAATAAAAAGAGGTGTTAGGATTTTATTATGCTGTTATTGGTTTGATATATGTGGTTTTGTTTGCTGTTGATTTTTTTCTCTCCTGCTACCAGCATGGCCATGCCAGACAAACCCCCAGTCCCAGGAGCTAGGAAGTGTTTAGGACGGGTCTGGAATACACACCTTGGTAGTAGGCCGGCTCCAGGGCTGAGGGCTCGATGGGGCTCCTGGTGGCCACCGAGGCGCTGCCGAGAGGCAAGCTGGCAGGCAACGTGGCGCCGTAGGGCGAGTACTGCAGTGCCTGCTCGTATGCCTTGAAGTCCAGCTTGTGCTGCTGCTCCGAGGAGGACATGAGGTTGTTGATAGAGAAGGGGTGGTTGAAGGAGTAGTGGGGATCCCCTTTCAGGTGCAGCTGGGACTCGTGGGGTGCCAGGCCATGTGCCGGGTGAGAGGGGGGCACCGATGCCAGTGCCCCGGGCCCGGAGCTTATGGGGGGCGCAGAGGAGGAGGCTGGAGTCTTCAACTCCGACGCGCCCCCTGTCGCCGTAGCCCCACTGTGGTCCAGAGTCTGGGGGCTGGCGGCGGGCCCGGGGGCCGGCGCGCCCTCTAGCTGGCCGGCCTTACCGTGCACGCCCCGATGCAGAGGCGAGTCGGCGCTGGGGTTGGCGGCGCCCGAGGGGTCCTTGCGGCTCTCAGGGCCGCCCTTGGCCCCGCTGCCCCCGCTCCCACCCCCTCCGCCGCCGCCAGCCCCGGGCTGCTTCTCGCACTTGAAGCGCTTCTGGCGGCGCAGGTAGCAGCCGTTCTCGAACATGTTGCCGGAGTCCGGGTGCAGCGTCCAGTAGGAGCCCTTGCCTGGCTTGTCCGGGGAGCGCGCCACCTTGACGAAGCAGTCATTGAAGGAGAGCGAGTGGCGGATGGAGTTCTGCCAGCGCTGCTGGTTCTGCCGGTAATAGGGGAAGAGGTCCATGATCCACTGGTAGATCTCGCTCAGCGTGAGCATCTTGCTGGGCGCCTGCTGGATGGCCATGGTGATGAGCGAGATGTACGAGTAGGGCGGCTTGGCGTGCGGGTAGCTGCGCTTGAACGTCTTGGCGTCGCCTCCGCCGCCCGCGCGGCTGCGGCCCAGGTTGGACGGCGCGTACGCCATGGGGCTCATGCATGGGTTCATGGCGGCCGCGTAGGGGCCCAGGCCGTTCATGGAGGCCGCGGGCTGTGCGCCCATGGCGCCCATGCCGCCCGGGCTCAGCGCCGTCCCCATGGCCGTCACGCCCGCCGCCGTCATGCTGTTCATGGCGCCCGCCGAGCCCCCTGGCATGCCGGCCACGGCGCCGGGACTCAGGCCGGCCCCCAGGCCCGGGTTGGCGTAGGACATGTTGAAGGAAGCCGGAGTCATGTTGCCGCTCGTGGTCATGGTGTTCATAGTCATGTAGGTGTTCATGGAGTTCATGGAGCCCAGGCCCGAGTTCATGTTGCTGACCGGGACGGAGGAGTAGGCCTGGAGCAGAGACAGCGAGTGGAGAGGCCCCGAAGGGCGGGGTTAGTGGTGGGCGCAGGAAGGCGGCCGGCCGGGGGCGAACCCGGGGCAAGCGGAGGGCATTTCTGCAAAGCAGGGGACACCCCCACCCAGGGCAAACTGTTAGGCGCCTTCCTCAGACCAAGCAAAGGTGTCTTGCACGGCAGGGGGAAAATCCTAGCTCGGCAGGCATGAAAGATAAGCGCTCACAGAAAACATGTCCCCGGGAAGATGTGTAATCGCCTTACACGCCAGGCACAGGGGCTGACTTCCAGGCCCCCTTCATCGCCTCCTCCATCCACGCCAGGTGGTATCCCAAGTCTCCACCCCAACCAGCCGGGCAAAGCGCCCTTTGGGGGCAAATCATCTTTAAAACTCTGAAAATAGAACTCATCTTTGACCCTCTGCTTATTCACATCACCACCAAGGGTGCAGTGGGTTCCGCAGCGCAGGCCGGCTCAGCAGACCTCACGGCACCGGCTCCCAGTCCACCTCCGCAGAGGCTGCCAGGCCCAGCTGACCACACAACGGTCTCACTTGTGCTAAGTGGCTGTTAATGAAACTCTCCCTGATAGAACAAATCATCTATGGCCATAGGATCCCCCCCAACATTCATTTCCCAGCAGCTAGCTTTGTTGTCTTACACGTTTTTGTTGTTTATTATATTTAAAAGAAGTGTTTTTCACCTACTTGTAGAAACTGTAATATTGAAGGGAAACAAACTAATACGGTAAATAAGTTTGGGAAAAACAAAACTAAAAATAGATCTATCACAGAAGAGGAGTGCATAGTAGTATCAATGTGCTACATACATTTAACTTTAGCGTGACTTTACATGTACACCTCTGTAAGTCACTTAAAAACGTGCATTAATTCTGTTACCGATTTATAGTCCCTTAACGTTTGAAAATTTTGGTAACAGTTCATTGAACTAATCATCTTTTTTTTTTCCCACATACTGATGTGTTGTTGTTGATCATTTCAAAGCCTGGCCTTTGAAACTACACGAGTAGTTTAGAATAATTTAAAATTCCAAAATTGAACTCTTACTTATTTTCTCTTAATGCTATTCTACTTACTCTAGGCTTTAACATGTAAGAAAGCTCTTTAGTTAGAGGTCTTAATTGACTGGTGGGACTAGATGACTGCGTCAGAATTAAACCTCTGGAAGAGCTCTGAGTTCCTTTTAAAATCACCAAGTGAAACCCTTTATCAACAGCAATTTGAGAATGCATTAGGTACAGTGTTTTAAAAATACAGAGCTCAGATATGTTAAAACTACTTTTCTGATACTTTAATAAAAAATCATGATGCCCTTAATTTATTTCCATCAGCAAATACAACTCCATTTTAAAACATAAGAAGTGAACAAACAGATTTAAATAAGAACACCCTGTGAGCCATCATATGCAAATAAACTCAGAGGTAAATTTGTGAATATAAAAATTTAAATAAATTAGTTACCATAAAAATATTTCCTGATTCTATAGTTTTTCTGTGTATGTCTTAAAGTATTTTTTACTTTGGGGTTTATTTTCCTCTTCCCAACATTATCCAAAGCAATTTCAATAAGCGTTTTCAATAATAGTAATTAAACTTTTGGGGGGTAATCGCCAGCTGTTTCTAGAAAAATACTTTTAATAGGGGGTAGTCCTGTCTGTACCTGGTTTTCCTTGTAATCCTTTTGTGCACATTGTAAAACAAACCCTATGAACCAAGGGGACAATGGAGAGAAACAGGTTCTCGGCCCCAAGTTCTGGGAGAAGATTCTGGTCGCACCAGCGCCACCCAGCGGTTCTAGAGACGAATGAGCACACTTTTCCCCAAACAGGGTTTTTGAAGAACAAGTTTTATAAAATTTAGGAATCGTTTCATTATTAAGACACTCAACTTAGCGGCAGAGCGCTTTCATCAGAAGACGTCTGCGCATTAAACGGCGGGACGAAGAGGCCACCCTGCAGGAGTGCCCTGGCTTTCTCAGAGTTGCTTCCAACTCGTGCGGCGCCCGCCAGCCCGCCGAACCCGGGCCAGGCTCTGGCTCCCGCTCTCGGCCGGGAAGAGGCAAGTGCTTCCCAGGGCGGGTGTTTTCAAAGCCCGGAGCTCTCTAAAACTCTCTCCCCCGCTGCGAGACTGGGGGAAGAGAAGGGCCGTGGGTGCGGCTCGCAGGCCCGGCCGAGGCCGGGGCCACACCGGCAGGCGGGCAGCCGCGGCACCGCAGGCGCCCCCGCCCGCCCGCCCGTGCAGCTCAGCGCCCACCTCCCCCTGGCCTCCCCGGCGCGGGCTCCGGAGCGCCCCGCCGGCTGCCCGCCTCTCACCTCCTGCGTGTCCGCGTAGTAGCTGTTCCAGTCGCTGCTCTCATGCCCTTCCATCTTCACAGTCCCTAACATCCTGGAGCCACCCTGCCCGCCGCAACCATCCAGCCCTCTGCGAAGCGACGGGCGGCCGCGCGGCGCGGGCGGGGGAGGGGAGCCGGGCGGCAGCAGTCACCCGAGCGCCCGCGCGGGCCCACGCCACCGCCGAGAGGAAGCCGGCGCTGCGGGGCGCGGCGTGCGCGCGGGCGGGCGCGCGGCGGGGGCAGCGCGGGGCAGCGGCTGCCGCGGACCGCGCGGGGAGCGCCTCCGCGGAAGTGGACGGGCGCCCTGCGAGGCGAGTGCAGTTGAGCTGATGTGGATCTTACGTCGCTCGAGTGCCCACCTCCTCGTCCTCTCCCCATTTGTCCGCCGCACAAAGACGCTCGCACCTACAAAGCCCGAGGTGCACCTGCGAGGCGGCCGCCCGCCAGTCCAGCCGCCGCGCCTCCCGCCCCGCCGCGCCGCCGCGCGCGCCCCCCGCGCCCCCTCCCACTCACCCCCGCCCCCCAAACCCGGCCCTCACTTTGTTTGCAAAGCAGTGTAATTGGTTTAAGCCCAGAAGCTAGGGAAAGAGGGAAATGGGGTGGAGGGGTGTAACCCCCTTTGGAAAAAGAAAAAAGAAAAATAGGCGGGGCCGGGCGGGCAGGCCCGGGCTCCGCTTGGGAACTGTGCCGGGGAAGAAGGCCAGGGGCGGTGGCATCGGAGCCCTGCCTTAGAGACCGAGCGGACTAAATGACCCCGGGGTACCTCCCCGGAGGCGCTCACCACCCTCCGGAGCCGGGCCGCGGCCCAGTCCCGCGCACCTCTTGCTCTTCTGCCTGCTCTCTGCCCCCTCCCTCCTGACTCCTGACCCAAAGTTCAACTCTGGGAGACTGGAGAATACAGACTTTTTTTCCCCTTTCCTTTCTTTCCTGCTTGGGCTTCAAACTAGAAAAGGGAAAAAGCCCCACTTTTGCTTCGTCACTAGAAACCCGGTCATCTGAGTCAGCCTAGCCGAGTGACGTTAGGCCGACCCGGGCTCCTGGCTAGCAGAGCGGAGGCCCTGCCACGAAACTCGTACCTGCGGCTAAGAGCAGGTGAGTCACAGCACCGTTTTATATCTTTATGACATAACTTTTTTTTTTTCCGCCTCGGTCCGCTCCACTCCCCTTGTCATCTGTAGCGATCATAAAGAGGAAGAAACTGAGAGCAGACGTCTGTGTGATAGGGCAGGACCCAAGTCGGGCGTCCTCCCTCTGCCCGGCTCCTCCTCCCGCCCCCCTTCAGCAGCCTCGGCACTGGGCTGGAGGCGACCGTCTGGTTTCTGATAGGGAAAGGTCAGGGGGAGGGGCATCTCCCTAAACGCGCGCGCTAGCTGGGGGAGCAAAGGCCTGGCTCGGGAATGCATCTGCACTGCTGAAGAGGTGCCAGGCACACGCATTGGTGCCTGGTGGGGTCTCTGACGTGAAGAGGCCATGCTAGGATCCATGGGGCCCCTCGGTTCCTAATCGGTCCTGGACGCCGGTGGGAAATTCTCCCCCACGCAAAGCCTCTTGACTCCTATGAGACTCTGGGTAGCGGACTGCCCACACGTCCTGGGGACAGAACAACTGAATTAGCTGCGTGATAGGCACTGAGTTGGTGATAGGTTGGGAGATGGTGCGTGTGTTTCTGAGTGGATGTGACCATGTGTTTCTGAGTGTGTGGGTGACCATGTATGTTGTACCGCCTGTATAACCACTAGGGTTCCTTAAGTAGCAGTAAAATAAAAATCTTCCTCAAGTCGCTGAGAATCTGCAAAATATTCTTGTTTTTTAAAGTTTTAAAAAAATATTATTAATCTCATTTTAAGAAATGTGTTTTAACTTGTCTTTCAAACAGATACCTTATTTTCCCCCCTCTGCTTTGTTCTTTTAAATCTCTCTTCCTTGAAATGTGGCAATAGAATCATGTTAAATCCTTGAACCAAACAAATCTCTTAAATCAGCAGGGAGTAGAGAGGGTGAAGATGTGCAGTTAAGGAAATAAAAAAGATAAAAGCATCGGATTACAATTCACTTTAAAAGGGGGGGGGCATCACATTGTAAGGAAAGGAATGAGAACGAAATTAAATCCACCTGGAATTCAACAAAGCAGGAACCCTCCCCAAGACAGCCTTTTCTTGTGACTGCCAGTCATTCCATCAGTTTGTGTAAATGTATCTGCGAATGTGTGTCAGAAACTAATTCTTTTGTGCAAAGTTCCCATCAGCAGCAGGACTTGAGTTCCATTTGTCAAGTACACGGATGCTTAGCTTCCTCGGCCTGATGTGGGACTTTCAGTGCTTGTGAGCTTCCTTGTTCCTTCCCGAGGTGACTCTCCAACGCCCTCTTGGCTCTTCAACAACGTCGAGCAAGACTAGGGTATTTTCTGTGGATGGTTAACAATTGAGTAATGGCTTTTATAGTGCACAAGAAGCCAGTGCTTTTTAGGGGAAAAACACTGTCACTTTAAACGGGGGGGGGGTCAATGAAAATATCAAATATTATTCTTTCAACACATTTTCCAAAGCTATTAGGTCTCATCTTAAAAAAAAAAAGTTCAGTGTTCATAGCCTGATGGCCAAAGCGAAATTTCTTCCAGGCTTCTTCAAAAAACCCAAGACTGGTGGTGCAGAGTGAACTCAGCCAGCTTCACATCCTTGATCCAGCTTGGAGGTTCCTGGGTCTGGGGCCCAGGAGATTCCCACGAACACAGCGCCTCCTGTCGTGGAGAGGGAACGCTGGATTCTTCCGCAGGCGTCTGCAGGGAGCTTCGCCAGGCGAGAAGGTATTGACTCCCGCACGCATCCCGCACCCAGGGATTTCGGTTTATACAGCCCGAGGCTTGGTTGAAGGAGAGATGGCAGTTCGGTTAGCTCCCAGCCTCTCTCCACTCCGTGGCATCATTCTAAGACACCTAACAAATTCTGGAAGTGAAGTTCTAGTGCACTCAAGATGAAGTTCTAGTGCAGTCAGTCTTTTTCCTCGAGGTTTAAAAGCGAATCAGCAGAGCTATGTCGGGTCTTTGACTTGGAAAATACGTACATACATGCCCACAGACATTCACAAAGTAATGCAGCTGTCTCGGAGTTGCTGGCCTGTCGGCAGCCAGGTAACTTACTCATTTTCAACCTCTTTTCCCAAATAGGCCCTTACACTATTGCAAAACTGCTTTGCGAAGACTGCTGCTCGTTTGGGGGAACTAGACCTGTCTTCAGCTCGGGGAGGCTAGGTGGACTGGGCCAGGGGAGCCGCGAGGACAACCACGTGTCGACTCCTGGGGAATCCTGGGCCAAACTCGTGCGGGTGAGGACCGGTCTGTGGCGGCCTGGGGCGGCTCAGGTAGCAGCGAGGGCGGGCTTCTCCAGTGGAGGAGGCCGCGGCGGTCGGGACGGTAGGGAGCGCCGGTACTCCAGGTGGCCTTGGGAGGAAGAAGCAGCTCCGCCCTTCCCGGAAGCCGCGCCTGCGACCCGCGGGGGCCGCTCTCCGCGCAGTGCGGCTGTAGAAGAGGCGGCACACGGTCCACTGACCAAACTGGGCTGCCTCAGCTTAGCCTTCCCAGCATGACCTGGCTGGGAGTCCCTTCGCATATATTCACCGCGGAGGGAGACTCAGAGTGTGACTGCGAAGGGAAAGGCCACGGGCTCGTGCTCGGGCCCAGCCGGTGGCCTCTCGCGGCGACGAGGGCCTTCCAGTTTACCTGGGCCGCAGGCTGGGCCGAGAGCAGGGCCCGCGGCGGCGGGACTCCGCCGTGCCCACTGGCGTCTCTGGAGGGCTTCTCACTCTGGCTCTCTAGACCGCCCCTTTTCTTGCCCACCCTCTTTCCCCGACGGGGCTGTTGTCAGTCACTGCCTCCCTGGGTCCGCCACGCTCGGTGTGGGGTGGTCCGAGCTCGCCCCCACCCTTCGCCCAGATAAGGAGCTGAAGTCCTCTTTCCTGCGGGGGAGAGTCGTCGTGCGCAACGAAACTAAGATTCATTTTAGTTTTAACGCAATTCAAAGCCGATTGACAGCTTAGGAGTAAGGAAGGCCTGGACGCTGGAAGCAGCTGTCCGCACTTGCGCGTGCGGGGCCTTCCAGCTGGAGGTGTGCGCGGGCCGGACGAGGCCTGGGCGCGCGAGAGGACGGCCCAGCGCCTGCCCTCTGCATCCCGCCCACAACCGCAGGAGGCGCGGCGGCCAGGCCCGCGCGGCCCCCGCTGCCCCGACCGGACTGGACTGGGGCGCTGGAGCTGAGAGAGGAGAAGCGTGGATGGGCTTGGCCAGCGTTCGAGCTCCTGTTCCTCCGCTGCCTTTTTCTTTTCATTTTTCTTTCCTCATACCTTCCTTGCTCTCTCCCTTCCATCATTAAATCACTTAATTCCCAACTCACAAGGCATCTGACCCCCAGTAGGTAGGGGTCCTGGGACCACCTGACCGGCCGCTACTTTTCCTGACCCATCCCTGACTCTGTGTGTGTGTATGTGTGTGTGTGTGTGTGTGTGGTGTGAAACCAACATATATACATACCCAGGACCTTCCCTTATGTTGAAGCAAGCAAACAAAAACAGCCACTGTTTGTCTTTTCCCCTACTGCTCCCTAAGCCGCCGCCGGGTTTCTGAGCGGCCCGGGGCGCCAGCTTGGCTCTACTGCAGCCGGATGTCAGAGCCGGAGCTGCTCCCCACCCAGCCTCGCCCGCAGGCGACAAAACGGTCTCACTGGCCGTGAGAGAGCTTCGTGTTGCCAAAATCAACTCGCATTTTCATGTATTCAAATGAGAAAGGTTGGGAAGGGAGACTTGTCCTCCTGGGCAATCAACAGCCTTGGAAGGAAGAAGTGCCCCATCAGTCACCGCTGGAGGGAACTTCCCTCCCTCGAGGCCCCGGGAGCTGATACTGCGCCCCCGCCTGCACCTGGGCCACCAAGGCGGTAGCGCATCTCCTGGCGGCTTTGTCCCCCAGAGTTACCAAATGCTTTATTCACGTCGGTAAGCGCCAGCTGGAGAACGTGCTGGGCCCCAGCGGTCCCCCTCCTGGGGAAAGCGGGCTCCACTGCAGTGATGCTCACACCATCCTCTGGCTTTCCCCCTCTCTTTAAAAGCCCCTAGGGTTGGAGACCTAGGGGAGGGAATGGAAATGCAGGCTTCACACACAGTCCTGAGTTAGAGACGGGGACCAGAGCGGATGAGGCCCTACTGTGTGCCACAGACTGGGTGGGGAGCTTGGGGATCCCCCATCTCTCCACCTGCAGAGGCAGTGTGCGAAAGCTGGGAGGCGGGAAGCCTGGGCGACGGTAGGTCAGGAGCTCCACTCCACCCCAACGCAGAAGTCAGAGCTAATGGGGAGCAGTGATTGCAGCTGAGGGCTTGGAAAAGTCAACGAATTTCATCTCTTGCCCAGAAGCTGGCAGCTTAAACCTAAATCCTTCTAGAATGGTCGATCAGAGTTTAGCTTCCCCGTCAGGGCCAACCAGACAGACCCCTCAGATCCTCCCGCAGCCCACCCCCTGCCCGCCCTCCCCAGACACCCAAGAGCTTTCCCACAGTCCCTCCGTTGTCCCTAGTGGTTTAACTTTGGCTATTCAAATGCGATTACCCTCAAATTTTCATAGTTCTATTTAACAGACGCTTTAGTAACAATCGTATAAATCATGCACTACACACTTGGAAAGAAAATAAACTGTACAAATGCATTCTAGACAGTAGTTTTTCATCGTATAGCTTCCTGATTTACCCCGTAATTTTGAAATTGTGCTTTCTACTTATAAAAAAGACTAATTTACTGGCACGACTAGAGGGAGGTTACATTCATTATTTAAAATTAAAATTCGATTGGAGGGCATTGTTGGGTGACTGCTCCTGAGACTTCCAGCAGCTATTCCAGAGCTAACATCCAGAGAAAAGTTTTGTTTTAAAAGTGGTGCGTTTGTTTGAAGTTTTTTTTATTTTCTGTGTCTTATGGGGATCCAGAGCAAACCTAGTGCTTAGCTCACCTTGCAGTGAGTTTGTTTCCAAACAGAAACACCCTGAAGAGGCCTCCATGGCAGCATTTGCTTTTGTTGGGATACTAGTGAGATTTGCAGGAACTCTGGCCACTTTCTAAATGCTATGGTTTTGGTTGTCTACCCAAACCATGGATCAAAGTGAAGAAATGCAGCAGCCACCATTGGTGGTAGCAAGTCCAGAGCAGCTTTCTGGGGTCCCTGGTGAGAACTTTGCACACCTTCCCCAACCAAGTGAACCCTACCCTCCCTAGGTCCACACCTTGCTCTAGATTCCTGCCAGGTTCTTATCACTCATGGACAGCAAATTCCATTTGTTTCTTTTTCATTTTTTTTTTCTCTCACCCACTGGTCTAGTAGCTTCCTGAGGGCAGGGACTGCTATGGATCCTGCTGCCAGAGCAGAGCCTGAAACACAGTAGACTTTCTAGGAAGATTAGTTGAGTCAATTAATCAACTAACTACCCCATCCCAGAGAGTGCAACTAACTACCCCATCCCAGAGAGTGCGGCAGGCTGGCATCTGGCAGGGAAGGATTCTCTAGTCTAGAAACCGTATCCACCACCTCCAAAATCTCCATGTGAGAGAATCCAAGGGACGTGATTTAGCTCAGTGCATTGGGAAAACAAACGTTTTGTGGAATAAATGGGCCAATGGACTGAGGATTGAAGGACTGGATGGGACAGATGCTTCTGGCACAACAGACAGGCTCTCAGAGCCCTGGGACCACTGACCTCGATGCCTGATTTTATCTACGGGTGACATGATCAAATCAGAAATGCTCCCCTTTCCGTGTACCTGAACATGGGCAGAATCAGCACCCGCGCTTTGCCCATATAAGGCGGTCGTGTGACCCAAAGCAAATATTTCACTTTTTTCTTCTGTGAAAAGGCAGCAGCCACACCCTTCAATAGCAGATACTGAGTAAAAGGTAAAGAACCCCATCATTTTCCATCAAGCAACATGTTTCACTCGGAGCTGCAAAGGAAACGTCCGTGTTTAAATAATACTCTTAATTGGCAAACACATAAAGCAGAGCCCACGCGTTGAGCAGGAAAAGCCTTACAACAGAGCTCTCTGTTAGTCCGAGGTTGTGCGCTGCGGCTTGGAGCGCGCTGCCGTCCAGCCCCGGCGCTGGGGGGCGCCTGGAGCCCTGGGTGACCGCGGGGCGGGCGTGCACCCCCAGAGTCACAGATGCGATCCTCTCGGCTGCTCGCCTCTGAGCAGGCCTTGGCTCTCTGTCTTTAGGATGCAAAGGATTTTATTCTACACACCTTCCCTGTGTAATGTAATGATTTTCTGAAAGGGTCACCAGTCCCTCTCAGAACTTACAGTGTTGTTGCAAGGTATTAAATGGAGACTCCTAGTGTCAATTTTTCATCCTGAAGTTTTATTTGCCACGAAAGCAGGCATGGGGAGTGCTTGCAAGAGGAAGCACTGCTCCTCTTCTGGGTTGCTGTCACTGGAGAAGCCACACAGGCTGCGCGATCCTTCAGATCCTACGTGATCCGTGTACTCCATGTCCCTCACTCCTCTCTGGGCTGTGGTGGAGCTCAGCCTTGGCTTGGATGCGACCTGGAATCTGCGCCACTAACCTCTGTGCTTTCAAGTCCTCTTTACTGGGCTGCGCACACCCTGACTCAAGTCACCGCAGTGGGGGAGAAGGGGCTCAGAACTCACACCCAGTCCACCTTGGAGACTCAGGGTTTCGAGTTTTAGCAGATCTGGTATAGATTTATTTTTTTTCAAATGATTTCGAAGATGCCCTCAGTGGGGTGGAACCCACTCTCCTCACCGCACTGGCCACCTCCCGCCAAAATACCTTCCATTGTGAATCGCTGGTCTCCTCTGACCTCCCCATGACCCTCCTTCCACCCCCTCCAAGAGAAGAGGTTTCAATAAATAAAGCCCAGTACTGGGGTTGAAGGTCAGTTTACACTGGAGCAGGAGCTTCAAAAACTCCTGCAGGTGCTGGAATGGGAATAAACCAGGTCACCATCCCAAGAGGTGAGAGAGGGAAGAAATGAGTACAAGAGAGAATGTGTGAAGACGCCACCTGGAGTTAGAATTGGGGTGGGAGGAGCACAGTCAGGAGCTTGGTCCCAGTGCTACCCACATCACATTTCTAGGGAACCCAGGTAGACCCTTCTGCCACCGTTTCCTGCTTTTCCAAGTGATGAGTTTGGACCTGATGTCAGGGCTCTAGTAGCCGCCAGTTGTGGAATAGCGTGGCTGGCGCTCCAGAGTCAGCCCTGATGACCCATCCAGGGGAATGAGGACCTGTGTGAGCCTAGGAAGGGCGCTGCTGTGGTTGTGGTGGTGGGGCGGGGGCTCCACTCCCGAAGTGGACAAGCCTCTCTACCAGGAGAGAAGACTCTTGGAGAATTGGTACTGTGAAGATTTCCCTTCTTTTTGCTGAATACCTACTTTTAAGTTCTATGTTGTATGTTCTATGTATTTTATGTTCTATGTTCATAGAACTTTTATGTTCTATGTACAAGGTTCTATGTAACCTTGGGTAAAAAGCCTTTCCCCTTTTCACTTCCTAGCATCTCCAAAGACAGCAGCAGCAGGAGAGAGAGGAGGGTGTCTTTCCAATTTCCAAGCGCAGACACAGCCTCTTTAGTGAGCCAACAGCTCAGCACTGTAAACATTCTCCCCCACTCCCCCACAGGGCTGGCGGCCCAGGCTGCTGGTGTCTGAGAATGAGAATCTCTGAGACAGTCTCTCATTACACAAACTCCAACAGGGCATGTTCAATACAATCAACAAGGACAAGTAGTGTGTCTGTGTAAGTGCACGGGGTTTGGAATCAGTCCTGGATTCCAATCTGAATACTGCAAGAGACTGGCCCTCTCTGAGACTCATTTTTCTCAGCTGTAAAATGGGCATGTTAATACTCACCTCATATCAATTGAGTGCAGAGTAAATACACAATAAATGGTAACCCAAATAAGGAGCTTTCACAGAATTCTGGGAGCCTAGGTGGTGCTGCATGCTGAGACACGCAGTGGCAGGTGATGCAGACCTGCAATCCAGCTGTGCCTCCCATGCTCCCTTTATAGGTCTTTTGCCTGTGGTCACCAGTCAGGCTCCCTGATGCAGTGGTTCTTCCCAGCTACAGTTGGTGAGGAAGGAGACAGCTCCTGCCTGGGGACTGGGTAGCCAGCAGGCAGAGTGACAGTGCCTATGGGGACCCTGCCTGGAACTTCCTTTCTATCTTCTAGAAGGATGGACGGAGCCTGTTGGAAAAGCATCATCCTAATGGGACCCAGAGACTGCATCAGGCCCTATGTTAAGGACCTTCTGGGGGAAGGAAGCTTGAGGATGGAGGAGATGAGAGGTCAGGAACCTCTAGGCTGTGCAGAACACGCCTAGGCCAGCAGGAAATTTGTTCTTTCCTCCACTCCTCCAAGAGAGGGGGATGATCCTACCCCAAAAGCCTGGCTGTGGCTCCCCTGGGCTCCTGAGATGGTCATCTGTGCCCAGGTTTACCAGTTGGACTTGCGGATTTTGGGTGCCACTAGCATGCCTCTCTCTGAGGCTTCCACCATCAACCTGGCTATGGTGATGTCAAGCAAACAGGAGTTGTGACCTGGATCCAGGAGGCACTATTGAAGAATAGGGGAGCTGCAGGGGAGAGGAAGAAAAAGGAAGCTGAGTCTGAGCTTCTGAAAGGCCACTCTGCCCTCAGCACCTAAACTTGGGGAGAACTGAGATGAGAAAGCAGGACCCTTGATTTCACCTAGACACTTTCTCCTCCCTCCTCTTCCCTTCTCATGGACAGTTAGAAGGAACCATTTATGACTCATTTGCTGAAGTGAATCCTAAGTTGTTATTATAGCAAGGAAGCTATATTTGCTGTCTTTGAAAATGTTTTGATTTAAATTCCCTAAAATAGTGTCTTACTGGGTTTTCAAGTCCATCTAAAATTAAGCAAGCATGATGGGCTTTTGATGTATGCTTCAAATAGTAAAACTTTAAATATTACCTTGCATGTCCAAGGATGCTTAGTAGGGTGCTAAAGCTTAACTAAGACAAATAATATAGTTTGTGAAAGAGCAAATCACAAAAAGATTTTCCAGATATAGATCCATCTTCTGAAGTGAAGATTCAGGAGTCGATTAACCCGTCCTACTGAGGAAGTTTGGACAGGCTGTAGTGCAGCTGTGGAGGCAGGGGCATCTCATGAAAAAAAAGTTCCACAAATTTCAGACAGGGCTTGGATGAGCTAAGAAGGTTGTGTGTACAGGCTGTAGTAAGTTTTTGAATTCTTCTTTACTCAGTAATCAGAATCCAGTTGGATTGAAAAAAATATTTCCAGCCAGGCATGGTGGCCATGGTGGCTCACGTCTGTAATCCTAGCACTTTGGGAGGCTGAGGCAGAGGATGACTTGAGCTCTTGTGTTTGAAACCAGCTTGAGCAAGAGTGAGACCCTGTCTCTAATAAAAATAGAAAAATTAGCCAGGTGTGGTGGCACATGCCTTCAGTCCCAGCTACTTGGGAGACTGAGGCAATAGGATCCCTTGAGCCCAGGAGTTTGAGGTTGCTGTGAGCTATGATGATGCCATTGCATTCTAGCCAGGGCAACAGAGTGAGACTTTGTCTCAAAAAAAAAAAAAATTCCTTCCCTGTAGAACAGAAAAACAACACATCTTCGAAGCTTATTAATTTTCCTTGGATTGGTATTG